ATACTATAATGAACTTTTTAATGGAAGGTCCTAGATAAAATCTGTGCATCTGAAACCATATCTTCCTGTGAGCCAGGTGCAGCCTCTATGTGGAAATCAAGAAGCCAAACCATGCCTTCCCATGAGCCAGGGACAGCTATGCAGAAGGGCAAGAGAATCAGGAGTGCAAACCACACCTTCCTATGGGCCAGATGGTGTGCAGGGTGGGAGACAAGGAGAGCAACCCTCCCTCCAAGCAATGGAAGTCAGGCTGAGATGATAGCAACTGAAGTAAACAAACAAACAAAAAACCTGAGTGCTTGTTATTGACTGACTTTTCAGGCCCAAAGCTGGTAGTGTGAGCATCTATTTGGAGGATAACAATAAGCTTTATAGCAACTTTGGAGGACTTCCTTCTGTCTTGCTTTGGAAATCCAATGTTTTGTTCCATTTTACTATTTTGTTTTATTCCTATATCTGGTAACCTGAGCAACTCTTTTAAAGATAACAATATGCAATATAACAATATTGTTAAATTCCTACCACCTTGTTTTGAAAACCTGTATCGCTATTTATTTTGTTGCTGTCATTTTACTTTAGTTGTTGTTTCTTGATTTGGTTGCTTCTTGATTTTTCTGTTTTTTCTTCTCTTTAAAATAAAAAAACTGCATTTTGAAAATATGTAGCTAAAGTAAACCCATAAACTCTAAATTTATTTTAACTGCAGAGCACAATTCTTTAGTTCTTTTTCTTGGTTTTAAGAAAAGTTATTCTCTATAAATCTGAAGAGCTACATTATTACATGCTGATATCAAATCTGGTAATCCTTTCCCTGACATCTAATAATATGTAACAGCACCTTATTAAGGATATTTATGTAACAAGTTCCTTATAATTTCTGACTGCATTCTGCCTCTGTCTCTATAGTGAGACAAACTTTTTCTCTTTCAAAATCTATACCCACATCATATCCTCATCTTTTCATAACTGACTTCTGGATATGACTTGATCTTTAGGAACAGTTCTTCACCTTGTGCATACACCTATTTCCTCTCATTTCTTCTAGGGTCTTACTTTATCAGTGATCTCTTCTAAGTATCTTTAGTTTCTCTCTGCAATCCCTTCACTATAAGACCATTTAAAAAATCATCCTGTGTGGCATGGAGGCACATGTCTGTAGCCCAGCTACTTAGAAGGCCTAAGCAGGAGGATCAGAAGTTCCAGACCAGCCTGGGAAATTCAGTGAGACACAGTCTCAAACAAAATTTTGAAAATAGCTGGGGAAATAGTTCAGTTGCTTAGCACCATTAAAATAAACAAAGAAGACTATCTTGTTTTCCAAAATTCCATTAACCCTCCCATTAGTGTTTAAAGTTAGGTTCAATTAAAGGTTTAATAGAGTTTGAATTTGTTTTAAGATAATGTAATGTAACTGTCAAAATAGTTCACTTTCCTCCTTTCTATAAGGAGGGTTAAGTAATAACTGCCTTGCAATATTTTAGTTAGGATTAAGTTGTATACTATGCTATACATGATAGGTATATAACAAATATTAGCTTCTTTTTCTTTCCTTGATCTTTAGGGGTGGTGACTAAGTTATCTTCATGTCTAAATTATGCTTGTATTTTCAGTATTCACCATAGTTGTGGGAGACCAGGTAAGGAGAACTGAGGCCTAATTGGTCTTCTCTGTGAATATAAAAGAGAAAAGCAGCATGCAGGGATGATAACATGTAGCAGGTTTTAGGGAAAAGTCAATACAGCTGAGATCAAATTGTTCACCTGGACATGCACTACGGGATAATGGAAGGTAGATAAATCTTGTATTACTTCAGTTGCTTGTGCCCGTGTTTGAGTGAACAAAGCAGGATGAGCCATGCTCAGGTCTCCTCTACTAGAGGCAAGAGCCTGCTGGTTGTCTGTCTGTGTAAACTGAGTCTATTTCCATTTGTGTTGCATCTTTGCCCTCTGCACAAGGCGGCAAACTAGCAGGACTATGTCCCTACAAGTGGTGTGTGGGTAAGGAAATGACTGGAACAGTCTGGTTCCCACCAGTGGTGCCTGAGTAGAGAACTGGGACTGTATAGCCCACTTTGCTACACATAGTGGTGGACACGTGGCAGCTATATAACTGTGTACGAACTCAACTACTCACTGAATATCTTTCACCTCTTGTCCCAACTGTTGTCTATGTTGGAATTGAGATGACGGGTGGAGTGTAAGAGAAAGAGAAGCATTTGGAGGGCAAGGATTGATTCAGGGTATATTTTATGATCCTGGAGATTATTCATTAAATAATGATTCATTAAATAACACTATTCGCTAAATAACGATGAAAATATTTTACTGGAGTAAATAATTTAACTTCTGCATGTGTCATTCATTTCACCTTCATAAGAGAATATAACAGTATGTGTAAGACTAATTTGCATATAATTAGAATGAATTGAAGCACCAGTATATTATTGGAATCAAATTAGCTGTTTGACACAACTTATTTTTCTAAAAACTGAAAAAATGTAAAACCTCAAATTACAGAGCTGAGACCTGACTTCGTAGAATGAGAGCAAATAATAACCCTATTTAATTGGATCATGGGTAAACTGTCGTTCCAGAAGTCATTTAAAAACTAATTAATGAGTGCAAAGTACTTTGAAAATCTGAAGTTTTGTGGTTATCTAAAAGGTATAAATTGGGTTAAGTATTCCAGCACCAGAGGTACATAAGATATACCTAACAGTTATTTTATCTTAACAGAATCATTTCACAATGACCTCTTTATATCACCCCAGATGGTCTGGACTAATTCTGCCAAATTTAGCTTATTTAAAGAATCATGCCTTTTTGCTTCTCAGGGCAGCCCCAGGATTTCTTCAGCCCCAGACTTGGCAGAATTCTTGGACGGCCACTCTTGAGCAATCCCTGTGCTTGACAGCCCAGAGAGTGGGCACTGGATCAAAAGCCAGAAAGGGGGACACTGTCAACTTTAGCCTCTTCTTCTCACACTCAGACTTCTAACTATCAAGGCTGCTGCTGGGCATTTGTTTCAAATATCCCATTAGAAGTAATCCTCACTCACTTTCAGATGAGCATTACTGATATTTTTCAATAACAGACAGAAACCTATGAAATTCCTCAGTCACTTTATTCTTTCCTCAGAACAATGCTAAGCAACCATCTGGTGATTTCTGAAAGACATGGTGCTTCATTACCACAGCAGTCCAGTATGCTGTAATTTACATATCTTAGGGTCAGGTGCCAGGAGATTTGGTCAATACTTGCTACCAGGGCAATGTAATTAAGGAAAAAAAATCTACCACTCTAGAAACCTTCTGTACAAAGACAATAGGAAACAATTTTATTATTGAAAAAGTAATAAGCCAGAATTCTAGACAGTCTCCTTGAAAGATTGTAAATGTCAGAAAAAAGCTCAGTCTTGTGCCATCACTTGTGATAAAGAATAACAAATGTTCAAACCTAAGAATAACCTTTTGAAACTTTCTTATGTACATTTCTCAGATAAGATAGACAAAGAAAGTACAACTGCCTAAGCAATACACATCTAGTGAGATATATAGATCAGTTTGAACCCTAGCAGTCTAACTACTAAGTCTGCATCTAGCAATAAGGAATAATTATAGTGCCTAAGAGCATGGAGCCTTCAGCCTAGGAGAATTGAGCTCAGATTCTATTTGATTTTATAAACTGTACAATAGTGCCTAATTTCTCTTCAGTTTGATAAGTGTAGCATTTGTAAGGATTTGTAAGGATTATTTAAATGTATACACAATATGTTGTGACTATTAAGTTTGTCAACTTGATTGACTTAGGTGCCACCTAGAAGGTGAGTAAAGGACACTTTGTATCTGGGTAGGTCATGCAAGTGTGACCTTGGATACTGTATCTGCCCCTGGCCTCTTCCTCTCAGGCCCTACTTCTCTCTTACCTGTCTTAGTTGCTATCAACTAAGCAACTCTGTCACGATATTCCTTTGAGCCTGAAGACCTCGGGAATCCTCTGAAACAGTTACCCAAATAAACTTCTTAAATTGTGGGTGTCAGGTAATATGCTCCAGCAATGAGAAAGCTGACCCATACAGGTGCTGGTCAGTCTGACACAAAAAGTAATGTTGAGAAACACCAGTTTTCCTAAGCAACATAGCAGGCACTGTTGTTAGATATCACAGTTCCTGCTTAATAGGAAAAATTCATTTCCTTTGGAACCAGCTGTTTATTTCACCCCCGCCTCCCCAGTGTGCTCTCTAATAGTTCCCACGAGTTATTTTTATGAGCTCATTGCGATGCCCACAGGAGGTAGCTATGACATATCAAGGCAGTATAGCTGTACTGCAGTTAATTTTAAATAGTTCTGATTTAGTTCTTCACTGTGTCCTTTGTTTATATTTCTTGACTGAAAACAACTCCATGAATACTCTGTGCACTTGAAGTCTGATAAATTTTAACTTTCGAAATAGATTGTGTATATTTTATGGTGGTAAGTCATACAACAGACTGATCTACATATATTTTATGCAAATGTGACATCGGTTTTTAAAAAATATATTTCTGGCCACATGGTTTGCTAGTTTTTTTTTCTTCTTCAAGATTTCTCCTCTCAAGTCAAATTAGGGGGAGCCTATAAAAAAGTTTATAAACTGATCTGCGCAGTTTAAAGCCCTTTTCTTTGAGGGTCAACTGTACTAAAGGTCTGTGTTTACTTTTCAGGCATGGACAGCTGTGCAGTCCAAGTCACGCTGCATTTCAGCGACAGGCAGCGGTGTGTGCTGAGAAACTTCAGCTATTTTGCCCTTCAGAAAGTGAGGCCCTGTTTTAAAGCAGAGAAATTACTCTTACATAAAGCAATTTTGCACCATATGAACTTCAAAATTTAAATGTGTATTTAAAGAATCAACGTAAATAAAAACCGAAAAATAAGTACTGGCTGTGTGGGTCGCGTGCCTTGCACAATCTGCACACCCTTGCACAGCCCAGGGCTTTGTCCACTCACACAAGCACTAGCGGCTGCTGCTCTCCGCCTTACAAAACACTCAGCCTGTAGCCCTTAGAAAAGCGTCCGGAGGCGGAGAGAGGCCGCCCCCGATCGAGCCCCGGGACGCGCGGCTGCCCTTCTCCGCCCGCCCCGCCCCGCCGCCGCCCCGGCCCGCCCCGGCCCGCCCCGGATCCCCGCGCTCCGGACCCGCCCCTCGCCTGCTGCCTTCCGACAGATCTGCAGGCGACATGGCGTGGCTGGGCCTTGTGCGGGCTGCTCGGGCGTCCCAGCTGCGCTGTGGCCTCAGTCCTCGGCGGGTAAGGCGGCGCTGGAGGGTCTGGGGTCCGCCTCTCCGCCGCCCGCGTCCGCCTCCGAGGAGGCTGCAGAGGGCGCGCCTCGGGAGGACCGAGACCCCAGGCACAGAGGGGCGCCCTTCAGAACTGGGCTTATTGAGCGCCGGGAGAGTGGGCTGAGATTCCCGGGGTGCTGGGAGGAGAGCAGTCAGGGCTTCCCGGGGTGCCAGGAGCGAGGGCCAGGGATCCCAGGGCGCAGGGGGGTGCGCGCAAGGACATGCCGATCCGAGGGCTGGGCCACCCGAGGAGTGGGGCAGCAGTTAGGGTCATATTCCCCAATCAGTTGTGGGCCTGGTGTTGTTGAGAGGTAAGGAGGCTCCTCGAGTTCTCATGTTCTCGTAGGTTTCAAAGTCGCTTCAAACAGATAGGGAGACATAATAGTTGGCCCTTTGAGGGGAGAGGTCACAGTTGGAAGTGTGTCCCAGAGAAAACACTGGCCTTATATGAAATTCTTTTTGATGAGGAACATCCAATTATGGTTGCAGATCTTGGTTGTGCAATTAATCATTAATACAAACCGTCAAAAAAATTTTAAAAAGTGAAGGGTCTTCAGTAAAGAAGTTTTATTTGGGAATAAAGAAACACGATTGCAATCCAAGACACACACACCATGGGTATGACTCGGGGACAAAGGTGTTGATACAGAGCTATCTGTGCAAGTGATTTTGGGTGAAAGTTCTCTGGCACTTTTCTACTGGCAAAGCTCTGATTGACAGCAAGGCAGTAAGATCATAGTTCTGTAGTTCGTTGCTAAGAAAATACAGTCTTAAATATACGGCGTTTTTTGTTTATTTTTATTTTTTCTGTGATAAAGTTTCTGGAGTAGGCCTCCCTGAGCCTGCATTTCTTTTTCATGGCTCCTTTAGCCATGACAGGAATGACACCATTGAATTTTCACAAAAAGTTCACACACAACAACTGAACACAAAATGAAAACCTTAGGCTGTCCCTCTGATTTGTTTGCTGTGTCAACATCTCTCTGTTGGACCCCTAATGGCATAACATACACACATCAAAAGAACTAGCAAGAGGGAAAAGGAAAGACAAAGGAAGAAGCTGCACAGATATTCTAGACAGGCTCTGCCCCAACTAAATTAGAACATCTTAAACTTTTATCAATTTCTTCAGTCAAGTAGAAAACTTTACTAACAGATAATACCCTTTCAACTTGATAAAAGCTATGGTTTCTCTTTAGAAAATATGGTTAAATGTAGTTTGAGCAGAGGATAGGTTATAGTGATTCTCATAAGGCAGACAACTTTATTTTAAAAAGTGAGATTTGTTCACAGCTGAGATTTTGTTGGTACTATTTTTGCTTTCCTTAAAGAGGAGGTTACAGGAACTATATTTTCTAATTCTCCAAGAACTATGTCATTTGAAACCTGTAACATCTCTGTGCAGAAGAAAAGTTCAATTTTTTTTTTTTTTGTTCTCAATACTGAGCATTGAACCCAGAGCCTTTTATACTGGGCGACATCCTCAAGTCTTTTAAACTTTTTATTCACTTTTATTTTACTTTATTTTGAGACAGTGTTGCTAAGTTACCTAGGCTTGAATTTTCAATCCTCCTGCCTCAACGTCTCAAGAGTATTGAGAATATAGGTTTGTACTACCGTTCCTGCCTTGTGTGTGTATGTGTGTGTTTCTTTTGTTTTTTTCTCCACAAATCCTTAAGATTGTAGTAGTAAAATTGCACAGACTAGATCACAGTTTCTATAATGTTAGGTAAAATAGTTTGAGAAGAGAAAAATAACTCACTTAAAAATTGATTATAGTCTGACAATTTTGAAGTTCCTTTAGCTACGAAAAATAGAAGTTTTGAGGATTGGTGTTTTGAGGCAGAAGAGGCAGCTGTCAGTGTGATTGTCCCCTTCTGGACACATGGTGGATAGAGTTTGAATTCATGGAAGAAGAAAACTCTTAGCATCTTTGTGAAATGGGAGGCTATTCTGAGAAACATCGTATTTTTGAGGGCAAATGCAAGTCACAGTTAAAATACCTAATTTGAATATTTTTGTTGCCATAACCAAGAGAAGTGTTTCTTTTGTCATAACACCTTTGAAAGGCTGTATTAAATTGTGCCATTAGCTGGTTGGACTCAATTCAATAAACATGTACTGAGAGTGTTTATCATTGGGAGCTGGTTCATGTATTCAGCACGTTAATTCTTTTTATTCACCTTTCCCTTCCCTTCTTCATTTCCTCCCTCTCTAGATCCCCTTCTCATTCTTTCATGCACTTATTGGCTCTTTGTCCTTCCGAGGAATATCTGCACATTTTACTTGCTCCCTTTTTGGTTGGATCTTTTTATTTTTAAGGTTTCCTTTTGAGTTCTTTATGTCTTCTAAATATTAATCCTTTGTTCAAGGAGTAGCTTCCAAACATTTTTTCCAAGTATGAAGAGTTTTTCAGAGGAAGTTGGTCTCTTCATCCTGTTAGTTGTTTGCTTTGCTGCACAGAAGCTTTTTTATTTGATATGTTCTCATTTGTTGATTCTCAGTATTATTTTTTGTACAACTGAGGTTCTGCTCAGAATGTCTTTGCTGACGCCTATGTCAGAACTTTACATATTTTGTCTTCCAGCAGATTATTTCTGTTTTAATATTTAGTCTTTGATCCATTTTGATTTTAGTTTAATAAATGGTCAGAGACATGAGTCTAAATTCAGTCTTTTGCATTTGTAGTTTTCCTAGCATCATTTGTTAGAGAGGCTATCTTGCCTCCAGAATGTTTTTGGCCCTTTTGTCAAAGATGGGTTATTCCAGCATTGTCTATTCTGTTCTGCTGATTCATATGTCTGTTTTTGTGTCAGTACCCTGCTTTAAAAAAAAAATCACTATAGATTTGTAGTATAATTTGAAATCTAGGATTGTGATGTCCCCTGCTTTAGTCTTTTGCTATTCTAAGTCTCATCTGGTTCCATATGAATTTTAGGATGGTTTTCTCTATTGCTATGAGGAATGCTGTTGGTGTTTTGATCGGAACTGTAGTAAATTTATATACTACTTCTGGAAGTGCAGCCATTTGATAGAATTGGTTCTGTCTATCTGGGAATAGGGGATATCTTCTATTTTTTGATGCCTCTTTGAGATACCTATTTCGAAGTACTACAGTTTTTTTAAAAAAAAATTTTATTTAAGGAGAAAAAAAAGACAGAAAAAGGGTACAAGTTATACAGAATTTCAATGAAAAAATAAACAGGAAATCACTAGTTAATAGATTACATATTGTCATCTTAAAAATAGTTGTTCAAGTTACAAAATTAAAGTATATAAAGTGGACATTCAAACAGTGAGACTGCAAACTCTTCTGTTCAATGATCCAACAAAAACTCAGTAATATGGTTGTCTATCTTATATGCTTAAATATACATGCAGCTATATCCTTTAGAGCACTTTCTTTTCTTCTCTTTTTTACAATGACAGTTGTACACTTTGGGTTTTATTACTCCCACAGTTCTTATTATTTTTTTTGAAGAGAATAAAACCAAATATGACATAACAAAGCAGAGTCAGTCAAATCAAAAGGATGGACATAGTACATAATGTAAAAACAAAATACAAGGTGATCAACAATGGTTACCATAATGCCTCTTGCTATCTTAAAAAGAATTGCCTATATCATCAGTTATAGTAAAATTGAACAAAACAGTAAAGAACAAAACCAATAAAACCAAAACATTGGAGACATTACAGGACTTCAAAAGAAGATAATAGTCAAACCAGAATGGGCATCATAGTGAATCTTATTGTCTTCACAGTTGTTGCCTATACTCTCAAACTTGGTACTATCAAGCAAAACAGAATACTGTAAAATCAGTCAAAACAAGATGGTGAGAGCAATACAGGGTTTCAAATCAAGTTAATAGGAAATCAAAGTGGATTACTATAATATATCCTGTTATTTTTAAATTTATTTTTCCCTTAAAAGATTAAAATAATAAAAAAGGAGATTGAGATAAAAGAGGACATAACAACAAAACAGCACAGGTCAGAACATAACCATTTAAGCAAAATAGTGTTTTCATCACAAGATACCCCGACATAAAAGTAGTTACCATAGTGTCTCTTTCCTTGAAATCTTTGAGTATAACTTCGTATACTGTAGCATCAAACATATCAAGACAATGTAAAACCATTCAAGAGAATGACAGTATTACAGGATATTTAGAACCAACTAACAGAAAATGAACAATGGTTTCTGTATTATCTCCTTGTCTATAAAAGTTTTTGTTTATATTATCACATATAATAAAATCCAATAAGATACAATATGTTAAGACCGATAGAGACAGAAGAACAAAAGCTTGATGGGACTTCAAAACAAGATGATATTAAATCAGCACTAGCTATTATGATGTCTTGTTTTTGCCAAAATAGCTGTTCATACCATCCAACCTTCTCTGCCTCATTTCTGTTCAGCTCTTTTTCTGTCATTAGTTGTCAGTTTGTCTTCTTCATTTCGCATTCTGCTCCATTCATTGTGGCCTCTCTGCCACTGTTTCTGGAATGTTGGTGTTTTTCTCTTTTAGAATGTCCTGCAGTATTCTCTGTAGAGTTGAATTGGTGATTGCAAATTCCCCTAGTTCCTCTTTATCCTGGAAGCACCTTGTGTCTCCATCAATTTCTAGGGACAGCTGTGCAGGTTATATCAATCTTGGCTGGAGGTTATGTCTTTCAAAGCTTGAATTATTTCCTTCCACACTCTTTGTGATTTGATAGTTTGTGCCGAGAGGTCTGCTGTAATTCTGATGGGTGTTCCCTTGTAAGTGATCTGTTTCTTGTCTCTGATGGCTTTTAATATTCTGTTCTTATATTGGATTTCTGGAATTTTGATGATTATATGCCTGGGTGTAGTTCTGTTTGGGTTGTAGGTGGCTGGGGTCCTGTATGTCTCATAGAACTGAGTATCTTTACCTTTTCCCATATTAAGGAAGTTTTCCTTGATTATTTCTGTGAATAGCC